TTAAATGAAGTAAATCTCCTTCACTGAGACTCTCGAAATGCAAACACGCTAAAACTATACCTACTTACTCTATATTCAAAATACATGTGAATTTTTTTCGAATTACTAATGTATATTCTTTCAATTGTTCTACAAATTTTATTGAATACTCACTATACTCCAGATGTTCATGCTAGGTGATTTTGAATGTTATATTAGGTCTCAGCTTCTCCTAGATGATATTTTATCTTGGCAATTTAAAATTTTGTACTTCCCAAAACTTTGTCAGAGATTTCACTTATATTTTTGCATTTCTACTATGGCTTATGTTAACATGGAAGATTTTATATACCTATTCCTTGACTCACTACCTAGTCTTTGACTTTTCTGATATGTTTGTGCAAATACTAAATGAAAATTGATCTAAATTTAGTTAGCAGTAGTCATTCTTGGTTGTGTTATGCAGCATAAAAAGAGAAATGGTTTTTAAATTTGTTGAGCTGAAAATTCTATTTATAAATAACTGAAAAAAATACTTTTGATATTTCCCAAATTAAAGAGTAGCAATTAATTTTCTTGTTAAAATAAAAACTGTATTATACTATTAATACCTTAAATTCAGACATATATACACACATATATTTTTATGTTTATTTTGACTTACACTTGAGAAAGAAATTGGGCCTGTGATTTTCTCTCCAAATTCTGAAAATAAAATTCAAACTTCCAGATAAACGACAATATTCTGGATTGTTTTAAAAACCAACACAATTGAAAAATAATTATGTTTACGCTTAGGTAAAAAGGTTGTTTTTCAAGTTTATTATCATGTACAATAAAGTTATTAGTTTCCCTGACTGAGATAAATAGAGCAATACTTACATAGATATAAAAGAAAATATGTATTATTGTAATTTCCCATAAATATTTTCAAAGTTTCAAGTGCATAATAGTAAAGCTATTAAGTATTACATTTTTGCTTTGATGAAATAATCATTGGAAACTCTCTTAATAAACCAGTACTGTATTTGTACTCTTAATATTATATCAACATTGCTCCATAGAGCAGATCCATTATTTGTAAGTTTTATTATGATAGAACAAAGTGGCTTACAGAGAGGGAATGTGTAAATAAATCACAGCTTCTTAAAAAAATACAGACACCTTTAGAAAAATTTCACTGGCAATTGAACTTGTTTTGAACTATATTTTTATTTCAAAATAAATGTAACTTATTGAGATTCACATTCCTTAAAGTAACTGAAGAACAGGAAAGCAAAACAAAGAAGTGAGGTGAAGTCATAAATTGTAGTAGGCCTAAAATGTAAAATCATTCCTTAACGTGAAAGACTTAGTTTCACTTTAAAATGGCAGAAATGGAAACAAAAGATATTTTAAACACTTTTTTACAGTATATTTTAAATCATAATGTTTATCACTAAGGAAACAGCATATATTACACAACATTCAGTGATATCTATGCCTGTAACCTAAAATGATAAATTATCTGAAATTCCAAAAACAAGAAATAATTAAATGATCTATTGCTATTAAAAGAGTATTAGAATCAGGAATGTAATATAGATTTCATTCATATGGGAAGTATTGTTTATGAATTCAGTATTTAGTCTATCATTTTAAATTTTAAAACAAAAAAAACAACCTGTTTTTTTTTTTTTTGAGATTGATTTTCACTCTTGTCACCCAGGCTGCAGTGTACAATCTCTGCTCACTACAACCTCCACCTCCTTGATTCAAGCGATTCTCCTGCCTCAGCCTCCCAAGTACCTGGAATTACAGGTACCCACCACCACGCCCAGCTAATCTTGTATTTTTAGTGGGGATGGGGTTTCACTATGTTGGTCAGGCTGGTCTCGAACTCCTAACTTCAGGTGATCCACCCATCTCGGCCTCCCAAAGTGCTGCAACTACAGGCATGAGTCACCTCACCCAGCCAAAATAAATGAACTATTTTAAATTTAGTGTTTGGTAACTTTCAAGAAACACTTATTTTCTATGAAATATGGGAAATATAAAATATATTTTACTTTCGGAGTCATCAAAGTTTTTAAACAATGGCAACAGCCTATCAGAAAAATTTAAAAAGTCCTAATTTTCACCTACTGTCTTTTCTAAAGCAATATTTTATGTATCTTTTCATTTTTAACATAATATCACATTTATAATCACAATTGAAAATCTTAGTGTGGAGATTGAAAGAGGATCAACTCAATATTGCAATCTAAGTGAACTCAAAATGCAAAATAATCATATCTGTTTGGACATGTTTTGGACCCCCACATCCAACTTAGTGAAGAAGATTAGCTCAATTTATCTTTTTTTTTTATTTTCGAGAATAATTATTGACATGATAGTAATGATTTCCCTTTGTGCAGAATCTGGATTTGACAAAAGCATCCTGAAATTAAAGATACACACACACACACACACACACACACACACACACACACACAGCATCATGAGCCTTTCTTTATGTGGAATATATTAAAGGACCATATTATTAATTACTGTAAATGCACAAGCTACTCTAATGATGCGAGAGGAGTGTTTGTCTTTAGAGGGCCTGTCATTAATGAAATTGAAATGTTAAAAACTGATGATTAGAATTTGATGAGTAGAGAAGATTATTTATGGAATAATATGCTTTGTGATTTCAGATCTAAAGTGTAATTAATGCATGACTTTATTGTATTTGAAGCTTGGTGAACCCCATGGTTAGTGATGTTCTCAAAAGGAAACCAGACATTTTCACTTCAAAGTATACATAGATAACAGGTTAGCAAATATGACAAAGTTAAGTTACTTAAATTTGCAATCCATGGACATACATTTTAAATAATTTAATTCTTGAATAAAGTATCAAAATATGAATGTGACCATCTGTAACAACTTTTCTTCAGGGATATTGTGCAACTTGGAAAAATGCTACTGGTTGTAAGAGAGAGAGAAGAGCATATAATTAGAAGATTTAGTAACCTAAATTTGAATCCCGTTTCTATCACTTATTAACTTTATATCTCCAATTAAAGTGATTAACCAGTTTCAATTACTGACTTGAAACAAAATAGGGATAATAAAATGTACCTAAAAGAGGATTTGTGAAGATTACATTGGAAACACATGGAATCGCTGGAACAATATCTGCCATAGATTATGAGCTTAATATCACTCTGTTTGTTCATATTCCCTTGAATTTATAAAATTATATCTCTTTTTAAACTTTGCTGTTATCATATAATAGAAAATCTGAAGGAAAGTTTTTCCCAAATTAGTGGCTCTAACTTTTAGATTATCTTGTTCTATTAGAATGCTCTGGGCCTTTTCAAAGCTGTACTCTGGTGTTAATATTTTTATGAGAACAACTGACATTTTACAATTTATCTGTAAATTATTTACTAATGAGAAATACAATAAAAAATATGTTTTCTGCAGGGTAAATATAAGGACTTCCAGAATGTTTCACAGAACATTATCAGTGTCATATTGGCTGCCCTGCCACTTATGTGGGCCCCACCTGCAGTGACAGTATAACTGTAAGCAGTTTTTATGGTTGGAAAGGTAGCCTCACAAATATAAAACAAAACGGAAAAAGAGAAAAGTAGAAGAGAGAACTAAATGGAGAAGCAAACACTAGGCAGGAACCAGAATAGAACCCAGGGAGTAAGACAAGGAAGTAAGCTATGGCACTAAAGAGAAATAATAACCAAGGAAGGAAGGGAAATCAACATCATCAACAGAGTTCAAGGAGAAATAGGACTAAAGATAGCAACAGTAGGTCATTGTTGACTCATATGAATATAATTTTTATATAGTGATTTAAGCCCATCTACAGGAATTAAAGAAAGAGTGGATGTTCAGAAAGATACTAATACTCTTATCAAAATAACTATGGCTGAGATCCACAGGGACTTCCATGTTGCTAAACTCAATGGACACTTTTTACTTTGCTTGAATTCTCAGCCAGATTTGGCACTGTTGGCCACTTTTTCCTTAGAAAATTATCTTCCGTTGGCTTGATTTAGAATGCAGTTTTATTTTCCTGTTTGACTATTGATAAGTTTCTGTTGCAGACTTATTCTTCTATATTTGCCCTCACTGTATAATTAGTCTAAGCTTGGTCTTAGGCCTTATTCTCATATCATTTTATAATATCTTCCCATGAAATCTTATCCATGTTCTACAGTTTAATTGATTAATCCCAAATATTTGTTTGAATCCCAGGCTTTATCTTTTAGTGTCAGGTCCATAAACTCAGCCACCTACTTGGCAGCTCCATCTAGCTATCCCCAAAGTGCTTCTAACTCATGACATCTTCCAGAATCCTTCCTCCAAAATACTTACAGTACCAATTTCAGAAACAGATACATGTTCTATGCAGTTTCCTGAGCCTCAATTCATCACTAAGTCCTGTCACTTTTAGTTTATAAATATTTCTCAGGCCACTCTTCCTGTCACCAAAATCATTCTCTATACTATGGGAAGGATGATTTGTTCAAAACGCAGAACTCATCATATAACTTCTTCCACTCTCAACACCTCCTCGTTCTTAATTTAAGTGCTTTTAATTATTCTAAGAATTTTGTCTATTGCCTATCCATCAATAATCCCAAAGGAGATTAGGGCAATAGTTATTCAGGGTATTGAGTCAAGTGAAAGGTATAATTATATAGAGAGTAGAGCTATACATGCCTAAATATAGAAATAACAAGAGCCAGTTGAGAGAAACAGTTGAAAGGATCTTTAAATTAAAGGTAGTAATGGAAGAATCAAGATCTCAGTAGCAGGAGTTAGTAGGTACAGCATAACTGTGCAGAAGAGAAAAGATATAACTTCTAGTAAACCAATTGAAAAGTAAAAAGTAGTTAAATTTAAACATGAATATTTATTCTTCATAATTGCTTTTAGTTAAATTATATATTAAATGTGACCAATTATAATTATATGTTCAAAAGATGTTAAAACTCACTATTATATAAAATACAGGTAAATATTTATTTTTAATTATTGGGCATCAATTTAAAATGTATCATGCTGGCCGGGCGGGGTGGCTCACGCCTGTAATCCCAGCACTTTGGGAGGCCGAGGCGGGTGGATCACGAGGTCAACAGATCGAGACTATCCTGGTCAACATGGTGAAACCCTGTCTCTACTAAAAGTACAAAAAAATTAGCTGGGCATGGTGGTGCGTGCCTGTAATCCCAGCTATTCAGGAGGCTGAGGCAAGAGAATTGCCTGAATCCAGGAGGCGGAGGTTGCGGTGAGCCGAGATCGCGCCATTGCACTCCAGCCTGGGTAACAAGAGCAAAACTCCATCTCAAATTAAAAAAAAAAAAAAAAAGTAACATGCTTTGGAAATCTATTTAAATACAAGCAATTATTCATTCTATATTCTAAAATGTCTAATTTTAACTTTTAATAATGACATGAAGTCACCAAGTACACTTTGCTACAAAATAAATTTACTTTTAGTCTGCTAGAAGATTTTCTGTGAGTTTTAGAATGAGCAAAATACCATTGGACAATTCTTCTTAGTTGATTAGACCCAAAGCAGCTCTACCCTAAAAAAATGATGTGCCACTATTGAAGGCTTTCCAAAGAAGTTGCTGCTGGCTCTCAGGGCAATTTCAGTTATTAGCAGATGTATGCTCTTGTAGGTATGTAAGCACCTCTTCATATCACTTTATCACTCATAAAGTGTCACTGTGTAAACTACTTTCTGGGAGGAAGCCAAGCATTTTTAGAAGCTGAGTAACTCTTTTGGGCAACTAGAGTTCTATTCATTTCACTGAAACAGTGAATAGTGTATGAACTGGAATAATCTGATTCAGTAAGTATTAAATAATTCATTCTCTGTATAATTTTACCTGTGGTGTGACTATAAAGTATGGAGGTTGGTTTTATCTGCACATTTGAACATAAAATCTCCCATAACTGCTGTTTGTATAGATAGTTTTGACATAGTATATGTTTACTCCAACAATGACTCCAGCAATTTCAAAATCTTGGGAATCGTCTTTTGGAATGAACTTTAAAATAAGATTATTGGTCAAACAAGAAATTCTCCAGAAATTTTAAGCATAAACCCCTTTGTCTAGACTAAAATGTGATTTCCTGGTTTCTGCGCTATTTTTTGTTGTTGTTGTTTCTTATTAAAATTGGGTAACCTACAGTTGTTCAAAAAAATTACTTGCATGTGTCAATTATTTGTCATAACAGAAGGTTACTCTAAATTAGAAGTTACATAAATGTTTTGAGGTTTAGCAGCCTCATTTGAATACATTTATAGATATCAGGCAGGATGACATTATGAACACAGGCATTTAACTGGTTCTTGCTCACTTCACCACCAATATAATTAATAGACTCTAAGCATTAAATCAGCACAAGTTTACGGGACTGGTGAAGAAATTTTGATAAAACTTTCATGAATTCAGTACTAATAGAATCATATTAAATGAAGTTACCATAAAATAGCAGTGTCTCCAGGGAGAAAAACAGGCTACATACAAATAAAGAAACTTTAAGTCTAAGGCATCTCTTTCATCATTTTAAATGAAAGAAGTTAACAGAGATTGCCTTCTATCTTTTGAGAGGAAATTTTTGTTATCTCCAAAATCTCTAGCAAGCCAAGTTGTTAGTAAAACCCATGTACACATTGCTAAGTACGTAGGGTCTGAGAGAGTATGCATCTTCCTGAAGATGTATTAACTCAACAGCGACCTGGCTGCCTGAGATGAACCTTGGCTAGAAGAGATAAATGGTGAGTATTAGAGCTTACTCAATAATTTTTAAAGTCAGTTCTTATTATATTAACATTAATTTATTTCAGTTCTAATAATGGTCTCAAGTCAACTTTAAAAATCTGAAAATGTGATTTTGAAAAGGAAAAAGGAAAGTTTCTCTGTGATAGATTTTAAAGTTTTATAATCCTAAATAATTAATATTTTGTCATAGATAACAAAATAGGTTAATAAAGTAAATTAAGTAAATAAATTTACCCAATTACATATAAAAATTTAATAATTGATGAACAGGACATTTGTATTTTTGAAATTGTAAGTTATTTATTGAATGTTACTGGCAACACTAGGTAGCTCTTTGCAAAAATGGTAGATCTTGTTTCGCATACATACTTGATAAATTAAAGACCGATATCAAAAAGTGATTCTAAATATGTACCAGAAGAAAATATAGCTGAGTGTAACAGGAATATATAAAAATGTTTTCTAAACTTATATATAGTAAGAATGAAAGCACAAATGAATCAACTAACAGATTTAACCTCATATTTTTTTCTAGTTGTGTAGCTCACCGTAAGGACTTTTTCTTACACTTATCCAAAAGCAGCAGGGATAATGAAGGACTAAAACTCAAAAGCTGTAGAAGATGGATGCAGCCATAGTTGACATACTCCCAAGTACACATACACTGTCCAGAAGCCTAATAAAAGAGCTTCATGGGAAGAAGAAGAAGAGAAGAAAAGCAGCAGAGAAAGCACTTGGCAAGAGGGCTCAGTCACAGCAGATTTTAGAAGCACTACCAAATGTACCTTTCGAAAGATGAGAGGAACAAACAAAGGTGAAATATCTATATAGTTTCTTGAACAGCAGGAGCAAGAACAGAGGTGAACTGCTAGCAGCAGGAATCCTGGACTGGTTTGTTTTCTAGAAACAGAGAAAGTGGGGTTATATGAAGAATCACGGAGACATAGAATTTGGGGCAACCAAGAAAAATTTAGATTTGCAGTATAAAAATCAAGTAGCTGGAATACTATTAAAATACCTTACTGACCAAAGGAAACTCATGAAAATAACTGGTCCAGGAAAATCTAAGTAATTTATCAGTGGACTTAAAAAAAATCAATAGCAAAGCTTGAATTTTAAAATCACCATAAAAATAAAATAATATAAATAAGTTGCATAAATTTCTAATAGATGAAGGATATTCTTCAGAAAATGTTGCAACTGAGCTTTAAAAAATGTAAGAAATAATTGTCCAATTTTATTTTTGTAATGAAGACCTCAAATAAGAAATGCAAAAATTGAGGGACAAAGTGGAAATAAATGAAACAAATAAAATAAAATATGATCTGCTAGAACTCTCAAAAGAAAAAAAGAAAAATAATGAACTCATAAAGAAAAATTTTTAAATATAGAAAAATAAAAGAAAATGAAAATAATTTTTAAAAGTGAAGTACTAGAGGAATTTTACAAAGCAACCAAAATTGAGGAACAAATAAAAAGGAGCTAAAAAGAAAAAAAATAGTAATAGAAGAGAAGCAAAGGGAATTAGCCTATATATAAAGATTGAAAATAATAAATAATGGAACAGATCTTTAAATATATAATTTTGAAAAACTTTCCTGAAATAAAAAAGACCTGAATTAACATGAAAGTGTCAAAAAAATTAATTTTTAACATTAGAACTAGTTATAAAAGCACCCAATTTTTTAAAAAATTAAATGTTTGTATAATTATAAAATTGTTTTTTAAACCTGAAATATAAACAATGGCCCATAAACCAAATAATTCAGATGTAACTCCACCAAAGATTTTAATCATTATTAATATTTGGTGTGTCTGTCTTAATTTTTCTATACCTGACTAAGCATCTAATATGATATATTATAAAATATAATATGTAATAAAATAATATTTGATATATAGCTTAAGAAAAGAGAACTAGACTTAAATATGGGCTAATAAACATATCTATACTTTGTCATGTATTTAGGTATTTTTGACAATAATCTAAAAGTTTATGTTGAAAAATACATTCATGCTCATTGTAGAAAAAATTACATAGAACAAAATTATGTAGAATGAAGAGTTCATAATCTTCCCTTCTTAAGGTCTTTCTTTGGTAAATCTTCCAGAGGCTCTACATCTTAACACAAATAAGAATGTACTGTAAACAAAGTTTTGGACTTTCTTTCCATTAACAATACACTTTTTTAGAGATCCTTCAACATCAATACTATAGATCTCATTGCTTTTGATGACCATATAGGGTCTCATTGAAAGGATGTACTACAATTTACTAAATAGACTGTGTGCTTATTTTCAATCTTTAGCTTTGCCAACTGTGTTGCAGTGAATACTTGTATACACTTGTATACAAATGTCAAATATGTATTAATATATCTGAAAGATAAATATCAGAAGTGCAATTGTGAGGTGAAAATATTAATGCATTTAAATTTTTTACAGCTATTTTCCCATAGATCTCCATATATGTTACCATTTTTCATACCCAGAAAGATAGAATGTAACTATATTCTTTCACCCTTATCACAATATATACTGACACTTAGAAAAAAAAATCCACCGATGATAAGTGAATGAGTGGTACTGCATTGTTGTTGTAACTGGAATTTAAACATCATGATTAAGATTGAGAATCCTTACTGTCCACTTGCATTTCTTTGAAAATTACCTGTTGAGAACTGATCTCATTTTGCTGTTGGGCGTTTGTTGTTTTCTTATTGATTTAGAAGAGCTCTTTACATAGCAATTAAAATAATCTTTTGCTGCTGGGCGCGGTGGCTCACGCCTGTAATCCCAGCACTTTGGGAGGCCGAGGCGGGTGGATCACGAGGTCAAGAGATCCAGACCATCCTGGTCAACGTGGTGAAACCCTGTCTCTACTAAAAAGACAAAAAAATTAGCTGGACATAGTGGCGCATACCTGTAATCCCAGCTACTCAGGAGGCTGAGGCAGGAGAATTGCCTGAACCCAGGAGGCGGAGGATGCATTGAGCCAAGATCGCGCCATTGCACTCCAGCCTGGGTAACAAGAGCAAAACTCCATCTCAAATAATAATAATAATAATAATAATAATCTTTTGCATGTCATATGTGTTGCAATTAGTTTTTCCCAGATTGCCATACTTTTCTTAATGTTCCTTTCTATTTCTGCAGGCAAAAGTTTTACATTTTTATGTAGTGAAAATTACTTTGTGACGTAATTAGAGAGTTACTATAATTTTATTTTTACTTTTATGATTTTCTCTGTATTTAAACAACATTTGTTAAATTAATTTGTAGCATCCCATTGTATCAACGCATATAATTTGTTTTTCTTATTCAGCATTACTGGTTATTTAATTTGATTTTTTTTTAGTTGTAGGCAGTGTTATTTTTTAAAAATCTACATATTTTACATACATTATTTTAGGCATGTCTGTTTCCTTATGGTGCATTGTTTTGTACTGTAATTGTAGGGCCAATGAGCTTTCTCATCTTCACACTTTATATTTCTAGCCCTGATAAATGGCCCTTTATGAACATAATAATTTACATGCCTACAAGCAGTATATGAGATATATCACTTCTTGACCCTATTACCAATGCTGAGTGTTGTTAGTTTTAAATATATTTTCAGTTGTAAATAGTATGCTCACACTTACCTCAGAACCAATATTAATTACATTATGTATTCCCAGTCTTTTGTATTTTTTTCTTTCAACTTCATTTCCAGAACTTTCTCTAAAATTATTTTGTTTTCTATGCCACTCAGAGAAAGGATTGACTGTAAGGAGAAAAGTGACCTCTTGGTGAATGAGAGACAAATTACACAAAGGCTACTCCTACAAAAAGGAAGATCACTGTTTTGAGCAACCTACCTAGAACTTCCCTTCTTCAACCCGACAGCCCCATTTTTTTTCTAGTAAGATAACAACATTGTCTCAATTGCATTATGACTTCTTCTGCAGCCCATTTAAACTTTTGTGGTTTTCTGTTCTCACTTGTCTGGAGAAAAGATGGACTACTTCTGCTAGGTTGAACGAAGCACAGACTTCGTGTCATTTCCTTCCATATCTATCATCATGGGTGGCAGCAAGAGGAGAGCAATTCAGCCTTTCTCTACTGAAGCCCTTCTATCACACTGTGTGCAAAGCTCCAGGCAGACAAGCTGGAGACTTGCATGTTCTCCAAAGACTGCAGTATAAAACTGCTCCTGCAAGATCGGGTCCTTGCTAATTACAATACTAATATTAACTTTTTCATTCATGGTAGATTTTCATTCATTTCTTAAGGCTAATACTAACTGCAACTTAAAAAAAATAATGCTAAATAGGGCAAGCAATCTGGGAACCCAAATGGTATATTCGCCTCCTGATACACATTCTCTCATTAGGCACATGCACAGAGGAGGGGGAAAAAAAATCTCTCCAAAGAGCTGGCACTGCAAATTATTTTTTTTATAAATTATATTTGTTCTGGGGTTATTGAATATACTATTTTTTTATTTATAAAATGAGAGTTTGGGGATAATCGACTTGGTAAGCAGTCTCAATGGAGAATTTAAAATGAGGGAAAACATGGTGAAGAGGAAATAATAAGGGTAGTGAAGTACTAGATCTTGAAAAGTAATCTGGGATAAACCAAAGGGACATTTAATAAACATGATCTTTGTTAAATTTGCTTTGGATCTAGCTAGCAAAAATTCCAGAAATATTTTGCTAGTTAAGAAAATAACCGCTTTCCTGAAATGATTTCCCTGTCTGGTCTGTTACTTTTCTTCTAGCTGCAATTATCATATAAAAATGTTAGCTAAAATAAAATAAATTTATCTTAATTGGATAAAAAGAGGCTATACTTTTATTTCTTTGTTTATTAATTTGGCAAGAATTTGTTGACATGTCCATCTATATAAGCAGTCATTTCCTTGTTAGGAAAATCAAAATTCTCACTTGCCTGTATTATGAACCCCAGGGATTTCTTGCCACAGGATTTGTTTCCGTTATAATTCAAAATTGAATTTTGGGCTTCTCCTTCCTAGAAATGTTTTTCTGTCATTATCAGAAGTCAAATTAGCAGTGCATTTTATTATAGAATGGGCTAAGTTTGAAGGGATTAAATAGAGTAGTATAGGTGTTAAATTCTGGCTTGGGTTCAAGTAAATGTTAACTAAATTGAGATGGTAACCATGTGTTCTGTCCTTAACCCAAGGCTCCGGAGCATATGCTACTGTGTATATGTGTGGCACCCAGATGCGGGACTTTGTCTTTTCTGGTTAACCAGTGTATTCAGATTTTGAGGACAGTATTTGGAGGCTGAAAGAACCCACAGTTTTCACATATGCAGAGATGGGTTCCCTTAGCACTTACACTCATCCAGGGTAACCTCAGCCCTCTGGACTTGATTCAAAATGTTTCTTTCCATTCAGTATCTAGTCATTTTCAGGTTTTCCACAGCTGGAGAAAACCCTATTATGTGCTCAGTCTGATGATTACTCAGGGCTCAGATACAGAGATACTGATGTGGCAGGTCTTAAAGGGCCTTGTGCTCCACGTTGTCAGGTTTCTTTTACCAGCAATTAAAAATATATGCATCAACAGAAAGGAGAGGGAAATAGAAACAATAGTACTTACTCTTACTGTTAATATGTACCTTATGAAAATTGAAAACATAATTAACTCACTGCTTTTATCATATAATAAAATATACACCATTATTAAACCTACTCAGAAGTAAGTTGCTTGTCAAATTATAGGTTCTGAAATATGACCAAACGCAGCAGAAGCCCATAAAGACAAGCACTTATTTGATGCCTAGGATTGTGGAATGTCAAGTAAATTAAAGGAAAATAGACCTCAGAAGAATAAATATGTCAGTTAAAACATGAATGTTCTTTTGCAATCAGTCAATTTCTAGTCTAGGCTATCAATGCTACCTTTTCCACTAGTCCTAATTTTGGCTGTAGGACCCTCCACTGGAGTGCTACCTGTTTTTGTATTTCATGCAATATTACTTCCTTTTTTATTGCTGCTTCCAGCTATTGCTTTCAAATGAAAATACATGAACAGCAGTAGTGAAACAACCTTCTCAGGAAGAGGACAGCAGATGAGACCTTCTTTTTCTGTTCCCGGGAAGCGGCACTTACTCATCCCTGTAGTGTCAGCATTCCTCTGGAAGAATACCATACACTCTTTAAATACATGTGAGGATTGTGGTAAAGTGGACCATATTTGTAGCAAAATATAGGTACCCTAAATTTAATAAGGGATTAACACCAACAACAACACAAGCCTTAATGGGAGAACTTCACTCTAAAAACCATTTCATAAGGCATTGGACTTAGATTTACAAGTGTGTTCCAAATTCTTCAAGAAACAGATGTTTCCAACTAGTTAAACTCTTTGAGAGGTTATTCTGCGAATTAAAGCATCACATCAAAGCTAAACTGATAAAATATAAGGAGTTCAAAAACACTCTGGCACAATCTTACATATGAATTCTCATAAAAAATAAATAAAATATTAATGACTGTAAAGGCATTTATACTAAAATGAATCACACAATAAAAACACTGTTGGAACTAATATTTTGTAACATTTCTAAAGGATCACACTAATGACATTATGAAAATAAAGAATAGAAATATTAAGAATGAAGAGCAATAGTTTTTATTGATCGATAATTGTATTTTCTGTATAGAAAAAAGGTTAATCTAAAATACTAGTATTCAACTTTTGATCAAATGCTAAAGAAATAATTTGAATTCATAAATGTATTAAAGTACTATTGCTTCAATGTAATTAAGCTGAGTTTACTTAAAATATGCAAGTGATTCAATATTAAGACATTTATATTATTGATAACTTTTCAATATATTATCTTGAAAAATGCACAAAAATCCTTTATTAAGTGTTTTAGACTAGATTTCTTTAATAGAATTTTATTTCTTAGAGCAATTTTAGTTTTACCACAAAAATAAGCAGAAGGTAGAAAGATTTCCTGTGTATTTCCTGCCTCCCAATCCCACACGAACACCCATTTTCAACATTTCCCACCCATTTTGAACATACCACCAGAGGGGTACATTTGTTGCAGTTGATGAACCTACAATGACACAATCATTATCACCCAAAGTCCAGAGTTTACATAGGATTCACTCTTGGTGATGTACACTCTATATGTGTTTAGACAAATTTATAATACCATGTATATGCCATTATGGTATCATACAAAGTAGTGTTATTGCCCTAAAAATCCTCTGTGATGCCTATTCATCTCTCTCTCCCCTAAGCCTAGGCAATCACTGATATTTCTACTATTCCTATAGTTTTACCTTTTCCAGAATGTCATGTAGTTTTAATTATACAGTATGGAGGTTTTCAGATTGGCTCTTTTCACTTAGTACTGTGCATTTAAGTTTTCTCTATTTCTTTCCTTGGCTCGGTAAGTCATATTTTTAGCAGTGAATAATATTTCATTGTCTAGATATACTGCAGTTTATTTACCCACCTACTGAAGGACATCTTGTTGCTTCTAAGTTTTGGCAGTTATGAATAAAGCTGCTATAAACATGTGTGCAAGTTTTTGTGTGGACATAAATTTTCGGTCCTTTTGGGTAAACAGTAAACAGTGCAATTGCTGGATGGTATTATAAGAATGTTTAGTTTGGTAGGAAACTGCCAAACTATCTTCCAAAGTGGCAATACCATTTTGCATTCTCACCAGCAGTGAATGACAGTTCTCCTTTCTGTTGCTGTACATCCTGTCAGCATTTGGTGGTGTTAGCGTTCTGTATTTTGTCCATTTTAATAGATGTGTAGTGATATCTCCTTGTTCTTATAATTTGTATTTACATGATGACAGAAAATGTGGAGCATTTCTTTGTATTCTCTTTGCTGTCTGTGTATTTTTTCAGGTGAGGCATTTGTTAAGGTCTCTGGTTAATTTTTTTTAATTGGCTTGTTTGTTTTTTTATTGCTGAATTTGCATATTTTGAATAACAATACTTTATCAAATATGTCTTTCACAAATATTTTCTTTTGCTGTTGGGGTTTCCTTTGTTTTCCTTAGTAGTGCTTTTCACAGAGTAGACATTTTTAATTTTAATAAAGCCTAGCTTACCAATGCTTCATTTCATGGATTGTGCCTTGGGTTTTGTCTGAACAGTAATCACTAAACCCAAGGTTATCTAGATTTCTCTTGTTAATTTCTAGGAATTTTATAATCTTATATTTTATATTCAGGTCTATGGTACATTTTGAGCTAATTTTTATGAAGGGTATAAAGTCTGTGTCCAGATTTTTTTTCATTATGAATGTCCAGTTGTTGAAGTACAATTTGTTGGAAAGACTGTTTTTTAATTGTATTACTTTTACCCTTCTATGAACGATCAGTTGACTATAATTATGCAGGTTTATTTCTGGGCTCGCTCTTCTGTTCCATCAATCTGTTTGCCTAATCTTTCACCAATACCACACTGTATTTATTACTGTGGATCTACAGTATGTCTTGAAGTTGTATATATAAGTCCTAGATCTTTGTTCTTTGTCAATATTGTATTAGTTACCTTGGATCTAGTTACCCCCTCAATATTCACAAAAATAACTTGCTGGGATTTTGATTGGGATTGCAAGTAAGAAAGAACTGGCATCTTGACAATATTGAGCTGCCCTATCCATAAACGTAGAAAATCTTTCCATTTATTTAACTCTATTTTGGTTTTTCTTCATCAGTTTTGTAATTTTCCTCATACAGATTGTGTACATATTTTGTTACATTTATAGCTAAGTATTTCATCTTTTGGATGTTAATGCAAATAATGTTATATATTTTTTATTTCAAATTCCATTTGTTCATTCCTGTTATGGAGAAAAGTGTTTGACTTTTGTATATTAATCTTGTAAACTATAATCTTATGATAATTGCTTATTAGTTCCAGGAGATCTGTTTTGTTTTGTCAAGTATTTGGATTTTCTTTATATATGATGATGTCATCTGGGAAAAAAGATAGTTTTATTTCTTCCTTCCTGAGCTGTATACCTTTTCTTTCTTTTCTTACTGCATTAGCTAAGACTTTCAGTGTGATGTTAAAAAAAGCATTGGTCAGAAGCATCTTTGCCTTATTCCTTATCTTAGTGGGAAAGCTTCAAGTTTCTCACTACTAAGTACAATGCCATATGTAGGTTTTTGCAGATATTCTTTGCCAAGTTGAGGAAGTTCTCTTCTATTTCTATCTTACTAATATGGACTATGATTTTTAAAATTAGCCACATACATAAAACAAACCTGAAAAAGTACTACATATAAAGGTTTAAAATTTTTTCAAAAGATATCTGGAAAAGACAGACAATAGAGGCTAAAACATCAAAACGTTAAAATTATTCAAAATAGATCATGCAAAAATATTAGATAGACATGAAGTATTTGATACTTCATGTGATAAAGATTCATCCTATCAGAAACATGCAATTATCCCTAATTTTCATGTAAACAAAGTACTTTATTAAACTTCATAAATACTTTACTAAGCATCAACTATATGTTAATATCTACTAAAAAATATAAACTCCAACTGGTAATAGAAAAAGGTAAAAAATTAACACATTGTTATCATAACACAACACCTAAATTCATTTTACTCAACAATTGCCAGATAAACAAGAACATATGAGAACATTGAAAATTGGAATGCAAATAATCAGTTTCATGTAATATAGAGTTTACATTATCTTCAACTACAAATAAAACCTTGAATTTCAATAAACATAATTCATACAGACCACATTCTTTAACTACAGTGAAATTAACAGTAAAAGAATAACAATAAAATGAAATGTCTCTACTTGGAATGATAATAGAATACTATGGCCTTGTAACTATGACATATGATAAATAATTGAAAGAATTATGACTGTTGAGAAGACCTAAAGGTCACATTGCAAGAGTTTAAAAATATATATGCCTACTGTATAGTTATTACTATCCAAATAACTATTTGGAAGGAAATACAGACAATAAGTAGTAAGTAAACTTCAACCAGTTTCCCCAATAGTAACATTGGGGAAAACTGGTTAAAATTGGGGAAAACTGGTTAAAGTGTACACAGGATCTCTCTGTCTCTCCACATTATACTTACATGTAAATCTACAATTATCTGAAAATTTACAAGGTTTTAAAAATAACTATCTAATGTCTAACTCCAAAAACCAAGGTATTTTCTCTATGCCATGACATTTTCTCAGAAAAAAAGTACTAGGGGTAGATTTGAGTTAATAAAAGTGTTATCTTTGGACTGTTAATGGCTAAAACACAGAATATTTGTACTGAAATAAGTTCTAACGCCAATGGAGTCCAAACAGAATGTGTCTTAGCACTGGTACTTTTGGACTTCCAAATTTGCTGAGCTAGCTATATTCAGAAAGTTCAGGATAGGAGAAATAAAGCAAAAAAAATAAAATTACTGAAAATGGCATTAATTTATCCTTAGTTTCCCCTATAGTGATGGTTGTGTTGGTAGAGATCAAAAGGTGTTTCAATTCAGTGTTAACTGTTCATTTTCAGGTCTTTCTAATTTTGTAGCAATAAAATCATGATTGACAGAATTGATGTGGTATAGTATAAGACACTGGAAAGATACATTTATGACTTTTGCAATCTTGGGGAAGACAAACTGCTTAATTTCTCATTGTTTTACTTTTACTTATTAATCTATAAAAGATCAGAAATACTAACATTTGCCTACAAATTACAAAATATCTAGATAGTGCCGAAGATCAAAGAGCAAAAAACAAAAAAAAATGAAAGAACTAGAAAGGAAGAAACTGAACACTCATTATTCTCAGATGATACAGTTTTTTGCATTTTTTAAAAACTTAGCAATATTACTGGAAACCATACATACAAATGACATACATATAATACCAACAAATAGAAATTATTGAAATGAGATAGTTCCCTTGACTCCTTCACAGGACTTGTAAAGGGGCTGGCTCATTTGCTCAGCCCTCAGCTCTCAACTCCTCACAATAAGGGGAGCACAGAGGTGAATGAGTGCAGGGGCTGAGACAAGTGCTTCTGGATGCTGGCAGGAGCAGAGCTGTATATGGCCTTGTGGCAGTCTCTGGGGCACCACAGGGCATATGTTATGGTGTGCTCTTTTAGCATTGCAATCCACTGACAGGTTAAGTATTTAACAGCTTAGTGAGGGTGAGGGTGGTAGTCTTTTGCACCTGCCCTCTTGGTCCCTAAGTGCTTGTCCAGCATCCAGTAAGAATCAGCTGCATGAATGAATTGAAGGGTGGTGAATATGGAGGATTTTATTGAGTGGTGGAAGTGGCTCTCAGCAGGATGGGGAGATGGATAGGGGATAGAGTGGGAAGGTGGTCTTCCCCTGGAGTTTGGCCATCAAGCTCTCCCTCCAAAGTCAAGCTAGTGCTCTATGATGCCTGGCTGCTTCTTCTCTTCTCTCCTTTGCCACTCTGCTCCACTACTCAGCTCCTTTGCCACTGTGCTGCCCATCTTCCAGTGGAGCCTAGGTTTTTATGGGTACACGATGAGAGGACAAGACTGGCCAAAAAGCAGCATTTGAACCAGTAAACTGGAATGCATGTTCTCATTTTGGGCTGTGGTCCAAGGCTTAACAGTG